CGTTTCTAGAATGGCCACCATATGTGTCATAGGATTCTCACTATCAAGGTTTGAAACACTTGATACCCTCGTCACAGTTCTACCATTCTAAGGCATATATCAATACATATTGCAATAATAATGATTTACCAAATAGAATAAAATTCTTTTATGATTAATGAACATTATTACAAAGAGTCAATTCTACAATAATTGTGGCTCTAGGGCATCTACTATAACCCTTTCCTACCCCAAATGTTTCCATTTCCTCCTTAAGCCATCAAGCTAGCCTGCTTCGCATCCTTTCTCCTTTTCTTCTTACTCGGCCTTAGCCAAGGCATCCTCTTTAAGTGTTTCTGCTTCCTACCATCCTTGATGAGTGCTCTCCAATGTGGGATAACACCCATCATAGATGAGCCTATTCGCCACACAAGCGTAAGGCTATCATAGTGTTGAACGACCCATCATAGATGAGCCTACTTGCCACACAAGGGGGCTATGATAGATACACAGAGAAGGGGGCTAACTACTGGTACCTTCGCCATATAGCTACACACCCAAGCCAGCAACTATGGGGGAGACAAATCCCTAACACTCACAAAAGTTTACGGGGTGATGGCATCTCTAGCTGCGGCGGCCCTAATATTGATGTGCCGAGGGAGTTGGTCGATTAATGCATCGACCACAGCTTGAGCTGCCTCATCCATCTTTGCGCCTCCATGCTAAGGAGAGCTTGGTTTACTTCCCAGTTTGCCCGTGGGAATGAATTTTTTCTTGGCCAAGTCCTTGGCCGCAGATTTCTTTGGGTCGTCTGCTTGCCTTATGACCTCCTTGCCCGAGCTACCCTATTGCTCGACCATTTTCTGTTTCTCCGAGCCCCCTTGAGGCTCATTCATTTTCTTCTTGCCAGAGCCCTCATATTGCTCCGACATCTTTTTCTTGCCCAAGCCATCATGTTGCTTGGGCGCTTTCTATTTTCCCGAGCCTCTAGTTGGCTCGAATGCTTTCTTCGCTAGCCTCTTTTGAGGCTAGGGGGCACATTTCCCTCCAACTTCTTTGGAGGCAATTACGAGCTTTTTCGCACTTGGGTCTTCCCCAAGCTCACCCTCGCTTCACTTCATACCAACAACATCAATAGGTTGCTTCTTCGCCAAAGCAACAGGCGGCTTCTTTGTAGCCTCGAAAGCTTCTGCCTTGTTCTTCAGGCCCTTTGGTTTCTCAGCCCACATTTTTGTGAAAGGAGAAGCAAACAATCAATGACCTACCTACACGAAAGAAAAGAACTCGAGCAAGTGAACACTTTACCTTTTTCAAGGATGGTAATAAAATTGGTGTTATCCTCGCAAATGTTGTATGCCCTCAAGCGAGGAAGTGAGATAATCTCATTGATGTTGCACTCCTTATCGGAAAGGTCGTTGAAGAGCTAAAGCCTCTGTAAGCTCGCAGCGGGGAGAAAATTTAGCTTGATGTTAACTGCAAAGCAAAGAAGTTTGGTTAGTTCATCCATCGAGCTTTAAAATGCTCTTCGTACACACTGGGGTCAAAGTCTTACTAGCTTTCGAAGCAAAACGTCGGCCTCTCCGGCCTCATAAAAGAAAAACTAAGAGTCCCAATATGGGACCTTCTTTGGAACGTCAACCAGCCCGTTGAAACTTACCTTCCTCGCCTTGGAGAGGTAATATGTCTGGTCTTGACCCTTCTTTAATCTATACAAATGGACACGTTCCTCAACAGATGGCTCGCCCAACTCGGCTATTTGGTATGCTATGTACAAACCTATAATTATGACGTATGAGTTTGCAGACAGTTGGAGAGGGACAATGTCGAACCGTCTCAAAATGCTATCTATGATATGGTGACCGGGAATAGACATCCCATACCTTAGAAGAATCTCAGAGATAGCCACCCAGCCTATAGGGGGATTCTTTCGGGAGAAGCCTCCTAGAACCCTCAAGTTGAGTTGAAGTGCATAAGTCTCATTTACGTGCCAAAGATCCTCAGCATTAATCGAGGATCACGATTCCTTCAATGGCCTGTAAACTGGAGATCTCCTAAACTAAGCGACCTCCACATAAGCATGGTTGAACGAGCCTATCGTGATAGGGTCTGAGCTCCATGCGACAATCTTCTCGAAAACCTTAGGGATTGTGCCTCCAAAGACTGTCGAGCCAGCAGGGGAATCGAACATGCGATCAATTGTGTGGCTGCTTGACTTAGACATGACTATAGCCCGCCTTTAGGTACCTGAAACAGAAGCAAACATGTGTCAAAGCTCGAAAAACGGTTCCAGTTCTAGTTCCAAATTTCAAGGAACGACGGTTCCGGTTCTGGTTCCAAATTTCAAGGAACCATCGGTTCCGATTCTGATTCCTTCAAAAAGTGTAGGGTACCCAGAACCGAACACCCCTAACATAGCCGTCAATCTACATTGAAACTCGACCCTCAATTCGTTAAGCAATCCCAACCCTTGGACATGGCCACGCATCAATCATCCGTGAAGGGCGATCAATCGTCAGACTACCACAATCATAACCATCATCATACATCAGCTCAACTTTGCACGTGGACAGCTGTAGTCGCCCATGCACGATGAAAAGCAACTGCCAAAGGCTGCCACATTTAATGCGACATGACCATGTGGAATTTACACGAATACCCTTTCTTTTCAAATTTCGAGTTTGTTAAGAATGTCATAGAAGAGAAAAGGTCAAGTGTTGAGTACATCGAATGGGAATGAGTCCGACTCACAAAGCTCGACCTAATCTACATTCAGTGCCCTACTGATGAATACGGAGCTTGACATCAAATCAAGCAGCAGCGAACACTAGGTGGCAGATGTTGTGTGTGATTTTTCCTTCAACCTCAGAGAATGCGAGGTTATACGTCAACCTAGAACAAGCCCAACTCCACCAATTGTCCGATCCAGCATAAGCTCGTCGAGTCATAGCTCGACCTACCATAAGCTAGTCGTGACCAATCCTTACAGTTGTTCAACCAATTCACAAATAACTTTAGGTCTTGGATATCTTGGGAAGGATCAGATCAACATCAATCTTTGCACAATCATAGCGCCCAATCGCGAGAATATCGGAGTTGCGTTTCAAACTTAATTGTAATCCCTTTGTTTATGCTCTTTCCTTTTTACACAATCTATATATAAACCCCCTCCAATGATGAGAAAGGGATAAGAAACTTATTCTAGGATTGTCATTGTAAGCTCTCACAACAAATACACAAACAGTGGACAAAGACTTAAGAGTTTAACTCACCAAACCACTTTAAAAACCTCTTTGCCATTTACTTCACTGAATTTATTCAGTTCTAGTCCTAACAAGGTTTATCGGATCACTCTAGTTGGTGTATTTTTACATCAACAAGTTTATTTTAGAAGACATTTCACTATATTTGGTAGGGGTGCGCCATGCCCTTGCAACAGTGCAACACATGGGCGACGATTGAGGAACCCAGTAGCAAGCTACTGTAGTGGATCCTCCCCAGAAAAAAGTAATTTAATATCATGTGGGACAATGTCCCACGTATCAGATATTAAACTGATAAGAACAGATACTACACTTGATCTTAGCCAAAAGGCCGAGAAAGGTATGCCTTGTTCTATGGCTCAATTGTTCTTTTATAGCTCTACTCTGCATTGTCTCTTCTGTTGCTTAAACAATGTGGGAGAAACTAGGCCAAACATTGGTGCCTTTATTTACGCCAATTCATGCATGATTTTTTTGATTTATTATTCTGCTTGTTTAGCAATAATATAAAAGCTCTTTTTCATTAATTAAATACTGAAGTAGTAGTCGCTGATTTTCTGCTATCAGTAGAGTGACTTTGATTTCTTTCACCAGAACTGATTTAAGGAATTTTGTTTAGGCAGCACTGCTTAACGGGACTTGAACTTTCTAGCTATTGCTAACTATTAGATTTGATTTAAGTGAAAAAGAATCAAGTCTTTCATCTGTTATTTATTCAGCTTAAAAGCAAATTACAAGAGTTATTACATATATTTCACATCCAGTAACTATGGTTTACTCAACCATAGTTGTACAGCTGGCAATTAAGCTAACCATCATAACAGAAAATAACTACTACAGTAACTATCTAAACTAATTACTCACAATAATCCAAGAACAAACAAATTTCGGATTGCAAAAAGTACCCATCAAATGACATGATAAATGTTGGCATGGTTAAAGCATTCAACAAATGATCCTTCAATAAATCTGAAACAGAAACAGTGTATGTTTGCAGTTTTAACAAACAGTTTGGATACTCCACTTTTATTTTATGGTCAAGCACAATAAAACATTGTTAGCTCTTTGTTTGTGATGCATGTAGACAATTGCTCTGGAAAGATGACCTGTTAAAGTAATCATATATGAATATCCAAATGTTAAAGCATTCAACAAGTGAACCTTCAATAAATCTAAAACAGAGTATGTGTGGAGTTCCATCGCCAAGTAAATCAAAGTTGCGTAAAAATCAGGTGTGACCATAACCCACGTAAATTAAGTTTGTTTTTGGTCCACAAAACAATTTTTATTACAAGAAAACTAAACTAGATTTGTTAAGGAGTTGCACTCAAAGAGTACAAGTACAACTTTGAGCCAAGCCAAGTATCTGGACACTCAAGCTTGGTTCGGACACTCAAGCTGGGTTCGTGATGAACAGTGTTAGGTTCAAGTTCGAGTTCGTGCCAAGCTCATTCGAGCTTGAATACTTGGGCTCGAGCTCACGAGTATGGGTGGGTACTCGAGCTCAAATGAGCTTGAGCTTCAAGTTTATTGTGAGAAAGGGGCTGTTTGTCATTTTAAAAACTTGAAAGTAAAAAAAAATTACAAAACTTGCAATTTGGTCCTCTGAGCGCGATAGGCTTACAAGCCTATCGAGTCAAGCTTTGCCGTGATCAAACTAGGCTCGACCCTTTAAACGAGCTAGTCGAGCTCGACTCAATTGACTTCGAGCTTTTCACGAGCAGAGCTCGAGTAACTCGCGAATTATTCGACTCGCTTCTCATCCCTAAGTACAACCCCTCCAAAAATAGGTGTATGCCGCTACAAGTGGCGAGCACACGGTATTCTTTAGTAAAAGGCGAAAGAATAGTTCACTTGGTGGCTCACAACACGGCTCCATGATTGAAATAAGACATTTCCTGCATTTTATATTTATAAAGTTATGGGTGATGGTTTTTTTTAGCCCATGTGGGAGTGGGACTATATCTTCATTTATTGATTCTCCCATAAGCTCATTAAACAATAATCTTTCCAAAGCATCATTTGACTATGCCAAGCAGCTGTAGAACTCGATATCTTAACTCACTAATATAAAATGCTCCTGCTGGTAGAGTCAGAAACAGAAATTTTTTGTTTAATTACGCCTTATTACTTGCCTGCAATCAATGCGAGGAGTTAAGTAAAAGTATGGCGACCAATTTTTCTGGGTAAATAATCTCCTGTGAAATTTAGAGTGGAAGTTGAACTAGATTTGGAAGGGGTGTGCCGGGCCCTCGCTATAGTGCAGCACAAAGGCGACGCTTGAGGACTCCTGTAGCGAGCTACTGTGGCGAGCCCTCCCCCATACAAAAATAAATTTAATATCATGTGGGACAATACCACGTATCAGATATTAAACTGATAAGAACAGATACTACACTTGATCTTAGCCAAAAGGCCGAGAAAGGTATGCTTTGTTCTGTGGCTCAATTGTTCTTTTATAGCTCCACTCTGCGTTGTCTCTTCTCTTGTTTCATCAATGTGGGAGAAACCAAGCCTGACTTTGGTAGGATCATGACTCCTTTATAAACAAGAAGTAGTACCTCTATAGCTTGATCCTGTAATCCAAATTCTTCTTGTTGTTTCATTACATTTTCAACAGCCAAATAATTAAATAGAGTCTAAAATTAATATTGTCTTATATTATTATATTACCACTTTAATTCTGATAGCTTAGGCTCTTAAACATGGAAGTTATCCTGTTGAATCAAAAAAAAAAAAAAAAAAAGGACATAAAAGATTTTATTACCAAACTTTATTCATCAACATAACCCATCAACTACGCAGAACGTATACATAACGCGATCAATTCTTGCCGCAATGGCTTGTTGTACATGAATCCAAACACTTCTCCACTTTCTCTTTCTCTGACAATAACAAAACAAAACAAAATAAAATAAAATTAGTTCTATAAACAAATAAACCGTGAAAATATTCTGAGTTTAACTTTTTACCTCCGGGTTTAGGAAGGTTTTCTTTGGTCATAAGACTGGAACACATGGAGGAGACACAACCAACGTTGCAAAAGTCGTTGCTGTTTAAAAAGGCGCCACGCCGCTTTCACGCAGACATTCCTTTTTGCAGGATCCAGCACAATCAGTAGGACCAGTTATAATTGAAAACATACAACCAATTAAGCAAAAATGGTAGCATTTCGTGAAATTGGCTACAGATTGCCCAGCAAGAACACCCAACACTAAACAAAGGATTAAAAGAGACTTGACTTGAATTGTCTCCATTTTAATCGATGTCTTTAGTCTTTAAATATTTTACCGCATAGCAAATTTGTGAGACTGATTTATATAGGACTTTTCATTAGCTTTCTGTCTATAATTCCAATTGAAACATTAATAATTGGATCGTAAATTATGGTATAAAAACATTG